TACAAATGGTATCACATTTAGTACTTTTTAGTACTTTTCGTACCGTTCTAGTACGAATTTCCAAAAACGCTTTTGTACATCTTCCTAACTTTACATCAGTGACCCACATTCCAAATTTCAGAATTCTAGCTCTTCCCGTTCGCCTAATACAAAGGGTACCATATTTGGTACATTTTAGTACTTTTCGTACCCTTATAGTTCGAATTTCCAAAAACTCAGCCTTATCTCACGCCTACACACCAACACCAACCCACACTCAAAATTTCAAGCTTCTAGCTTTAGCCGTTTCGTCTGGGCGATGATCTGTCAGTCACTCACTCACTCACTCAGTCACTTAACACTAAGCTCTTTTATATATATAGATATGTGGGAGCTATATCTAAATCTGAACCGAAAATTAACACACATCTTTCTAGACTTAATTCAGTACGCTATGCCAAATTTTGTGCAAATCGATGGATATATATAGGAACCTTGGTGCACGATTTACATAAAATTGGACGAAAATATATATGGGAGATATGTCGAAATCTAAACCGATTTTCTCGAAACTCACCACTCACCATTCTAGACTCAATTCAGTACGCTATGTCAAATTTTGTGAAAATCGAAGGATACAAAGAGACTTTGGTGCCCTATTTACCGTAAATCGGACGAAAATATATATGGGAGCTATATCTAAATCTGAACCGATTTCCTCGAAATTTAACACACTCCGTTTAGACTTAATTCAGTACGCTGTGCCAACTTTCGTGCAAATCGAAGGATATATAGGGAAGTTGGTGCATAATTTACATAAAATCGGACTAACATATTATGGGAGCTACATTGAAATATCGACCGATTTTCCCGAAACTCACCACTCATCATTCTAGAGCCAATTTAGTACAATAAGCCAAATTTTGTGCAAATCGATGCATATAAAGGGACTTTGGAGCACTATTTACCTAAAATCGGACGAACATATATATGGGAGCTATATCTAAATCTGAACCGATGTTCACAAAATTTAACAAGCATCGTTCGCGACTTAATTCAGTACGCTAAGTCAAATTTCGTGCAAATCGAAGTATATATAGAGACTTTGGTACACCACTTACCTTAAATCGGACGAAAATATATATGGGAGCTATATCCAAATCTGAACCGATTTTCAGGAAACCTAACACACATCATTCTAGACCTAATTCATTACGTTGTGCCAAATTTCGTGCAAATCAAAAGATATATAGGGACTTTGATACGCCATTTACCTTAAATCGGACGAAAATATATATGGGAGCCATATCCAAATCTGAACCGATTTTCAGGAAACTTGACACACATAATTCTAGACCTAATTCATTACGCTGTGCCAAATTTCGTACAAATCGAAAGATATATAGGGACTTTGGTACACCATTTACCTTAAATCGGACGAAAATGTATATGGGAGCTATATCTAAATCTAAACCGATTTTTACGAAACTTCACACACACCATTCTAGACCTAATTCATTACGCTGTACCAAATTTCGTCCAACTCGAAAGATATATAGGGACCGTTTACATTAAATCGGACAAAAATATATATGGGAGCTATATCTAAATCTGAACCGATTTTTCCCAATTTCAATAGGGTACGTCCTTGGGCCAAATAAGTGACCTGTGCGAAATTTCATCCAATTCGGATTATAAATGCGACCTGTACTTTGTTAACAAATTTTACATCGTCAGACAGACGGACGGACGGACACGCATAAAACGACTCAGAAAGTGATCCTATGCATATTCTCAAAAGGAACCATGGGTCTATCTCGATTTTTTGTGCCTGTTACAAACATATGCACAAAGACATAATACCCTGTACCACAGAGTGGTGAAGGGTATAAAAACAACAAACTGGGATTCAGCCTGACTATATTGCAAAAAAATAAAATAATCTTAAACTTAAACTATATTGAGAAACATACATTATAAAATGGGCCTAAATCTCGTGATCCTCAAAATCATTTGATGCTCATGCGAATTCCATTGAAGTACATAAGGTTATCTTCAAATCCATGTATATTTGATACAACAATCCTATAATTGAGGTTTGGAATTTCCTGATCGCGCACTGAAACTAGAAGAAAAATTTAAAAACTTTTAAGTGATTATTTATACTCTTTCGAGTCGAGCTTGATGACCTAAGTTTTGCAATGAAAAGGAAAGCCAGGAGAAGAAACTACGTACCCACCATTATTCGACGCGTTTCGCCGTTGGTTAAGCGGCTCATCAGGCATATTTGGCTATGTGGCTTTACAAAGGTCGTACGTTGATAACTTGTATTTATTCCGCCGTGATGCGAAACTTACATATGCGAATTAAATTCAAACTCGAAAGAGTATAAATAATCACTTAAAATTACTTTGAAATGATCACTGCCCTTACAAGGCAAGCCACATAGCCCAATATGCCTGATGAGCCGCTTAACCAACGGCGAAACGCGTCGCATAATGGTGGATACGTAGGTTCTTCTCCTGGCTTTCCTTTTCATTGCAAAACTTAGATCATCAAGCTCGACTCGAAAGAGTATAAATAATCACTTAAAATTACTTTGAGGGTATATAAATTTGGAGGGTATATAAATTTGGTCATTCCGTTTGTAACTCATCGAAATATTCATTTTCGATGAGTTACATATATATTCTGGATCAGGGCAAAATTCTAAGTCGATCTAGCCTATCCGTCCGTCCGTCTGTTGTAATCACGCTACATATCTTCTGAAGGAATTGAGATAGGGTGCTGAAATTTTGTCATAGGGTTGTATTTTGTCTGCAGTCAAGACAAGTTCGAAGATGGGATATATCGATCTACGTTTAGGCATAGCTCCCATATAAGGGCACCCCCCAATTTTCGGTATTTTGGAGCTCTTGAGCGCGTTTTCAAACGATTTCACTGTAATTTGATACATTGGGTTTTTATTCCCCACAAAAATTTTGAGAAAACGGGTGCATTAAGAACCCAAATTTTATCCGAATGGCACACAATTTTGTACAACGTATCAAATTGGGACTAAACTATGGCAAGTTTCGTTGAAATAGGTTCCGATATATATTTTCGTGCGATTTTATGTAAATGGTGCACCAAATTCCTAATGTTTGTCCGATTGACACGAAATTTCGCACAAGTTATCAAATTGAGACTAAAATGGCAATATTGCATTTTATTGAAATTGGTGCAGATTTGGGAAAAAATCCATTATTTTTTCGGCAGATGGCTGTACTGATATATTTCTCGTAAAGTATCGTTCAAACAATTTCAGATTTATGTTCGTTGGAAGGGTAACATTTCGCATGTTAGCAGTCGTAACATCGCCCAGGAGCTAAAAATCGATCATAAAACTGTTTGAAACCAGAAACGGCCAGAATAGGCCAACAGGAGAGGTGTCGTGTTCTACCAGGACAACGCTAGACCAGACACATCTACACTGACTCGCTAGAAACTTAGAAAGCTTTGTTGGGAAGTTTTAATGCATTTGCCATACAGTCCGGACTTGGCACCAAGTGATTATCATTGTTTTCTTGCATTGCAAAATTTCTTTAATGATAAAAAATTGGTATCTAGAGAGGATTGTGAAAATCGACTACTAGATTTTTTTTGCAAATAGAGAGCAGGACTTCTATGAGAGAGGCATTATGATGTTACCTTTAATATGGCAACAAATCATACAACAAAACGGTGCGTATTTGGGCCAAATCAGACATTCCTAAGCATGTTAAATAAAGCCCTATAGTTAATATACATGTTAATAAAATGGATTTCTTTTTCCCCAACCAAATATATAATTTTTGGGAAAAAATCCGACCGCCTTTTTAAGCCACAGTGGCTATAACTTCTATCCAAATTTAAATGTCTTCGAACAAATCTTGATATATCAAAGTTGATCACCCTTAACATTTGCAATTGAAATCATACCTGCAATATTCTTTTAAAGGAACACTCCTTGTTAGTCCTCATAATAAAATCTCTTTTAAAAATCGAAGCGTTGATAGTAGTTCAAAAATTTTTGGTTTAAAAATTCACACTTAAAGTTTTTCTTTATTCACTTAAATTATTCTTCTGTTAATCCTTAGAAAATTATTAATTTTAAAACCCCACACACTTTGATAGTCCTTAGAAATATATTCGTATTAAAAATCCACGACATAGTGGACATTAGGCAATTATTCCTTTTAAAAATGCAAGCCTTAATAGTCTTTAGAAAATTATTCTTTTAAGTGTCCTTTTAAACAAACATCTTTAATAGCATTAAATTTTAAAATATGTTCCTTTGTTTCTTTAATTCCGAATAGAAGAAATTCATTAGCATTGGCAATTGAGAGCATATGTAAAGGTAATTTAAAAGTTGATTGCTTCAAGTAAATTTGCATTATTACAACATTAAGGTATTGTTATGATAGCTTTATTATTTGTTGGCCCAAAATGAATGTAATGAAATGACACCACAGCAGGAATTCTGCCACAAAATTGTTAAATACGTATACTCCGGGTCTATACAAGGACAAATACGAACGGTAGTATAGCCAAGATTTCCTGCATACATATACACAGGCACGAACGCACTTACACACTTCCCTTCTTGGCACAAGCACACGCACGTGTAAGAACACATACATAAATGTACCCATCCATCCGTTGATTCCGGTCCTTTACCTTTTGCTATGTGAAACCATTTAGGAGAGCAACAGTGCGTATGATTTACGTATAATTTTCCACTTCATTTCCTTGGCCCACCGCATTTACATGATTAAACTCTTTAAACAGAATTTGTCAACCACAAACATTTATAAAGTAATTCATAAAGCGAACAAAAAACACATACACATGCATAGGCATATATCTTCTACAGACTTATAGTCTAGTTTATTTTGTTTATTTTTTCTTGTTTAAACTTTAGATTTGTTTTGCCCTTCGAAGGGTTTTTCCTCTGAACTTCATTGTGCACCACCGCACTGCATTGTATCGTTCATTCAATCCTACTTGCCATAATTCTTACGTTTCTTCATAATTTTCGTTATGCTTGCCACCATGGCTACTTCCGGCATTGTCAGTTTGGCATCTTCTTGAAAATCACAGCGACGCGACAAATGCAACCAGGCACGTTCCGGATTCAATGATATGGGCGTTTGTAGCCATGTAACATAATCGATTTTTAAAGAACCCGTCAATAACTACGAAAATGTGGGGAAATTTGTACATTTTAAATAAATATTTTGTATTTTAATTTTATTCTCTATTACCTGATCGAATGGATGTTGATCGATAAAGAACATTGTTTTCAACAATGTTGGTTTTGTTTCTTTAATATTTTGCCCTTGGGCACCCTGAAAGGGACTGGGATCATTTTCACTTGTTCCCAGCTGTTCCATAAGCCATTCTTTGTTATTCTTCAAATAATTGTAACAGACCTTGAAATAGAAACATATATTTTTAAAAAATCCAGGCCTCGAAAAAAAAATTTAAAAAATCCAAGCCTCGAAAAAAATATTTTTAAAAAATCCAAGTCTCGAAAAAAATATTTTTAAAAATCCAAGCCTCGAAAAAAATATTTTTAAAAAATCCACACCTCGAAAAAATTATTTTTAAAAAAATCCACGCCCGAAGAAAATATTTAAAAAAAATCCACGCCTCGAAACAATTATTTTTAAACCAGTAAGGAAAGTAGTAAAGTCGGACGGGGCCGACTATATTACCCCCTTCACCACTATGGGCATATTAAACAGGACTATTAACATGAAATTGGATGAAATAAAATTTGTGATATTTATTTAAATGTGAATCTACCTAGATCTATCCATAAAAAATGTAAATCAACTTCAAACAAATAAAAATAGGTCATCCGTTGGGCTATTTCTGTACTTCTAGAAAATGCAACTACGTAATTCTATGCTCAATTTTGTAAGTTGTGCAAAATTTGATGTCAATCTGACTAACATGAGGAGTTTGATGCCCAATTTACTTGAAATCTGGCGAAAAAATATATGGAAGCTCTATCCAAATATTAAGCGATTTCAAACAAACTTGTCACATTAGGTTATACTAATTTCAGAACGTTTTGTTTCTATCAGCATATTGGTTCCTTGGTGCGTCAATTACTTAAAATAAATCTATAATAAAAGGGAGCTATATCTAAATCTGGACCGATTTTCACGAAATTTCGTGCAAATCGAAAAATATATAGCGACTTTGGTGTACCATTTACATGAAATCGGACGAAACTATATATGGGAACTATATAGAAATCTGGACCGATTTTCACGAAACAAGGCAGACATCACTCTAGGCTCAATTCAGTACGTTATGCCAAATTTCGTGCAAATCGAAAAATATATAGCGACTTTGGTGTACCATTTACATGAAATCGGACGAAACTATATATGGGAGCTATATAGAAATCTGGCCCGATTGACGCGAAACTTGGCAGACATCACTCTAGGCTCAATTCAGTACGTTATGCCAAATTTCGTGCAAATCGAAGGATATATAGGGACTTTGGTGCACCATTTACATGAAATCGGACGAAACTATATATGGGAGCTATATCTAAATCTGGCCCGATTTTTACGAAACTTGGCAGACATCATTCTAGACCTAAATGATTAGGCTTTACCAAATTTCGTGCAAATCGAAAGATATATAGGAACCGTTTACATTAAATCGGTTAAATATATATATGGGAGCTATATCTAAATCTGAACCGATTTTTCCCAATTTCAATAGGGTTCGTCCTTGGGCCGAATAAGTGACATATGCCAAATTTCATCCAATTCGGATCATAAATACGACCTGTACTTTGTTTACAATTTAACATGGACAGACAGACGGACGGACGGACATGCATAAATCGACTTAGAAAGTGATTCTATGCATATTTTCAAAAGGAACCATGTGTCTATCTCGTTTCCTTTTGCCTGTTACAAACGTATGCACAAAGACATAATACACTGTACCACAGTGTGGTGAAGGGTATAAAAATCCACGCCCCGAAAAAAAGATTTTTAAAAAATCCACGCCTCGAAAAAACTATTTTAGTAAAAACCACGCCTATTATTATGCTTAAAAAATATTTATAAAAAATTCACGCCTATTGTTATGCTTTAAAAAATATTTTTAAAAAATCTAATCCAAAATATTTTTAAAAAATCTACCCCTATTGTTATAATTAACAAGTAAAACAAGCGTTAAGTTCGGCCGGGCCGAACTTTGGATACCCTCCACCAGGGACGTACGCAGGGGGCGGCCCGGGGGGCCTGGGCCCCCCCCCGAAATGAAATTTTTTCACAGTAAATGTATGTCTGCATTTTTTTCATTTTGTACTACCGGGCCCCCCCGAAATGAAATCCTGTGTACGTTGCTGCCCTCCACCATAGCTATACTGACAGATAAATGCAATGAAAATATAGGGAACATACCAAAAAATGGGCATATACCGATAATTCTACAAACTGATTTATGTAAACCATTATGTACACCAAATACAAACTTCGGCAATTTTTAATGGGGATTTTTCCTAAAATCCGTAAGATCCAAAAAGTGGACTGATATTGTTCAAGCATGGTATAAAATCCTCAAACTACTGTAATTTAGATTACAAAGTTATATGAGGCTATGCCTAAAGGGGGACCAATATTGATTCATAGTGTAGGAAATAGTGAATATTTGGGGATATCATTATATGAGGGCTATGCCTAATTAATGACCGGTATATGCCAATTTTTAACCCAATATATTAAATGTTTATCTCAATTCTTTCCTTCAGGAGGTATCACTATATTGAGGAGATGCCTAACTGTCTGCCGGTATATTTCAATATTGTTATGTTTAATTTTTTTATCACAATATATTTAGAAGGCGGAATGCTTACAACAGATGGCTAAATAGTCTTTGTAGGATAAAAATTGACTATTCCCCGTAACGACTACCCAACCCCAACACACCGAACAAATCAGATAACTATTTTAATATAAACAAAATCGTTTTAGAATTCCATACTATACAGGGTATGAACTGCAAATTTCGTCTACAGAATATCCCCCATTCTATGATGGAATGCAGCTATATGGGGATAACCCCAACACACGGAACAAATTAGCTAACTATTTTAATATAAAACCAGTGAGCGGAGCAGTATAGTCAGACGGGGCTGACCATACGATACCCTACACAACTACCATGGAACTCAAATTTTCTGCTGATGTTTATTCCGAGCCTGGGCAATATTTCGTGATATTTGCACCCTCTTGCGCGATTAGAGGTAAACAGCACCCCTTCCTCACACTGACATATTTTCCGGATATTACGTGTATTCAGTACAGCCATTGTCCAGATTTCCTTCACCGTGGGTTGTGTTGTGATGTTCGACTCGACTCGAAAATAACACAAAAAATTAAGGTTTCGGTCCACTTCATCCCAATATTATTGTCTGATCATTACCGAAAATTATAGGCATTGTCCTTGACCATAACTGGAACCTCATGGAACATTTCAAAGCGATCAGCGCTATAGTTCCGATCTCTAGAGTGGTAATGGGTTACTAAATAATATAATATACGGAGATACCTGTAAATATTTAGGTTTAACTCCCACATCCGAACACATACAACAATATAATTGGTATTAATTTAAAGGTCAACATCTCGTCTTGTATATAATATAAACTTCTCGGGTCTATGTCTTTCAGGGGTAAATATATACGCTATAGAATACAAATTTTGTCATTTTTCACACAAAAGTCAAAGTCCATTTGACCCGCTAAATATTGACCTATCTTTCTCAAACCAGGCATGCTTATTCTTTGGCCCGGTCCCCTTCTCCATGCAAAATTTCACGATGTTCGGGCCATTTTTGCGGCCTCTGGAGCGACCAGAAAAACCGATAAAAATTTAGTATTTGGTCCATTTCATCCTCTAAATATTAACCGATCTTTCCCAAATACAATAGGGGTCTTCATTGGCCAGAACACAACCTACATGCAAAATTTCGTGCAGATTGGTCCATAACTGTGGCCTGTATCGTGTTTACAAATTATGATGGACAGACGGACGGACGGACGGTCGGACACACATGTCTAGATCGACTCAGCTAGTGGAGATATGACGATCGATATACTTAAAGGTGGGTCTAGGACCAATATTTCGCGGCGTTACAAACTTTTGGGGCTGCACAAAGCTATAATACCCTGACAACATAGTTGTGTAGGGTATAAAAATGGGGTTATATGGGGACTACCCCTAAAATGGGGTGAATATTAATAATTTTATGGTTGGTAGATTTGTTACCATATACGACTACAAAATACCAAATTATAGCAAATTCGGTTGAAAAACGCGCTCAAGAACCCCAAAATACCGAAAATTGGGGGGTACCTTATATGGGAGCTATCCGAAAAAATTTACCTTTATTTATAATATTTTGTGGGGAGATTTGCTATCCAATAAGAACTCAAAGTACGAAATTTCAGCGAATTCGGTTGAAAAACGCACTCAAGAACTTCAAAATACATAAAATTTGGGAATACCCCTATATGGGGCTATCAGAAAAAGGTTTATAATTTTTTGTGTAGATATTTGGCACTAAATAATAACCCAATGTACCAAATTTCAGCGAATTCGGTTGAAAAACTCGCTCAAGATCCCCAAAATACCGAAAATTAGGGAGTACCTTATATGGGGGCTATCTGAAAAAATGAACCTATATTTAAAATTTTGGTGGGAAGATTTGCTACCCAATAAGAACTCAAATTACCAAATTTCAGCGAATTCGGTTAAAAAACGAGCTCAAGAACCCCAAAATACCGAAAATTGGGAGGTACTGTTATATGGGAGCTATACCTAAACGTGGACCGATATATCCCATCTTCGAACTTGACCTGCCTGCAGACAAAAGACAACCCTATGCAAAATTTTAGCACCCTATCTCAATTCCTTCAGAAGATAGCGTGATTACAACAAACGGACGGACGGACATGGCTCTTAGAATTTTACCCTGATCAAGAATATATATACTTTATAGGGTCGGAAATGAATATTTCGATGAGTTACAAACGGAATGACAAAATTAATATACCCTCCATAGTATGGTGGAGGGTATAAAAAAATATTGTTTATCAAAAAGGAATTTCCTAATATTTTATACCTTCAATGCCTGTTTTCCAATATCGGTAGTCAAGACATCACTTGCCAGCACCTCAGCTACAAAATCCGTTATACCCACATCCATTTCCATGGCATAATTAGCCGGTGGACTATGACTCATACGATCCGAATCAGCAGTACCAATTTCATCGATTTTAACAGTACTAACAGCACTCATACCACCACCTCTACGACCTGAATCACCAAATGTCTCCAAGATAATACTATCCTTAGCCTGTTTCAAAAATAAATCTATTTGATCGGTGTGTTTATCATCCTCATCAATGGAACATATGGCTTCCGATATGGTATAACAAATCGATGCCTTATCCTGATCATTGGACTTCTCATATTTCTCTGCGGTCTTTATGAGTTCCGTATACAATCCGGCAAACATAACTTGCATTAGGACAGAGTCACCTGAAAGGGAGTGTAAAATTGTTTACCAAGACTGATTACTATCTATCTTACTGTCTTACTCAAAGGCCTGGTGGAGACCGGTGTTATATCCTGCAGCATAGATGTAACCTTATACAAGCCCTCCGGTATACAATCCCACATTTCGGATACACATGTCAGGGCCAATGACATTGCCTGATACATACTAGCTCCAGCTTCCACAGCATTGATTAGCATATCCACAGTGGTGTTAAGTACAGGATAGACAAAATGCATAATGGCTTCCAACCATGGTGGGCGTTTTTGATTCCAAACCTAAAGGAATAACAAGAGGGCTATCATTTGATCTCCAAATTGTACCGACATATACCTGTCTTTTGTCCAAACAGTCACTCCATCCAGGCATGCCGATTTCTTCCAAATTTTTAACCAAGCAGGATTTAATATCCACTGCCTTACCCAAGGCCACCAGGAGATAGGTCAATGATAATACAATCTGACAATTGGATTGACCCACAGGATCTTAATAGTAGAAAGAATAAAAAGAGATCCCATAATTCTGTCTGAAATGTTGTGGGGTCCCGTCTTACCCAAATCATCGGCCAACAAATCGGAAACCTTAAAACATTCTCCACGACACAAAAATCCTTCGCACTTCTTCGATTCCGTAGCAGCCTCCACGAAGGAGTTCCGTGCAACATTTTTAAAATTCTCCGACGATGGTAAATGTTGCAGAAGATGTTTCAATATGATGCCCGTCAAATAGGCATCACGCATTAGGAGGACCTTCACCAAAAATGACCAATCCGCTTCGGGTGATGCCAATAGAACTTTTAATTCTAATGCTATGGCGCTATTTGTATTGAGGTCTGCAAATTCAGTTACCCATTGGCAGGACTGATCCTTGGGAAACATTCGAGGTTGGGCAAATATTATCCAGGCACTTGGCAGACCATGACGTGATGAAAACATTTCCATATTTTCCAAACCTTTGCGAAAGACCTGAATTATATTTAAAAAATCCACACCTATTATTATCCTTGAAAAATAATATTTAAACCAGTAAGGAAAATAGTAAAGTCGGACTGGGCCGAATATATGATACCCTTCACCAATTTTCGAAGGAAGGAAACTAGACATTAAATTTAACGAATTTAAATCTAACCAGATTTTCTCAAAACTTAACACACGAGCTATGGTTGGGACAGATTTACATCTCAAAGGCACGAAAATTCCCATGAACATGCAGAACAACATATGGGAGCTAAATCTAAATCTGAACCGCGCAAAATATCGCGCAAATCGAAAGATATATGTGGACTTTGGTGCACCATTTACATAAAATCGGACAAAACTATATATGGAAACTATATCTAAATCTGAACCGATTTTCTCGAAACGTAGCACATATCATTCTGGACCTAATTCAGTACCCTATCCCAAATTTTGTGCAAATCGAAAGATATGTAGATACTTTGGAGCCCTATTTACCTTAAATCGGACGAAAATATATATGAGTGCTATATATAAATCTGAACCGATTTTATAGAAACTTGACACACTATGCAAATCGAAAGATATATAGGGACTTTGGTGCCCCATTTACCTTAAATCGGACGAAAATAGATATGGAAGCTATATATAAATCTAAACCGATTTTCTCGAAACTTGGCACACATAATTCTAGACACAAATTTCGTGCAAATCGAAAGATATATACGGGCTTTGGTGCACCATTTACATAAAATCGGACAATACTATATATGGCAGCTATATCTAAATCTGAACCGATTTTCACGAAACTTAGCGCACATCATTCTACACCTAACTCAGAACTCTATGCCAAATTTCATGGAAATCGAAAGATATATAGAAACTTTTGTGTCCCATTTACCTTAAACTAAATCTGAATTGATTTTCTTCAATTTCAATAGGTTCGTCCTTGGGCCAAATAAGTGAGCTGTGCCAAATTTCATCCAAATCGGATCATAAATGCGACCTGTACTTTGTTTACAATTTTACATCTACAGACGGACGGACGGACGGACGGAGGGACATGCATAAATCGACTCAGAAAGTGATTCTATGCATATTCTCAAAAGAACCATGTGTATATTTCGTTTCCTTTTGCTGTTACAAACATATGCACAAAGAAATAATACCCTGTACCTGTGGTGAAGGGTATAAAAATCCACGCCTGTTATTATCCTTAAAATTATCTTATTAAAGACTTTCCCAAAATTTATATTTCCTCTTTTCCTCATCTTTCCTTCAATTCTGTTATTTGCTAGCAAATAAAGTAAAAGTGCATCCAAACAAATACAACAAACCTTTGAGAGTACTCCAAGCGGTGCACCCCTTAACAGGAGGCAATAGAAAAGTTCCCTGCACTTTGCATGTATGTCGCGTATAATGACACTTTGGTTATTTAGCTGTAATCCTGGGAGAATAAAATAGACACAAACACGCATACAAATACTCGTATTAGACATGCAATATGAAGATGCACAAAACAGATGCTGTAAATATGATAATTAAATGTTAATTAGAGGCAAATTCCATTTGGTTAAATTTTAACAACGAAACGAGAGCGATTAAATAATTATTTTTTTTGGGAGGGCACAACATCATTAGGAAAATTCTTTCGTTTGTTCGTATTTTTTTTTAGAAAATTCCATGCAAGTTAGAATCCCTCCAGTAATACTTACAAAAGACTCTCTCCCCTCTCTTCCCATTGGCTATAGGTCGACAACGACTACTTACCCACATATGCCTCACCACTTTCACTGACATGGGGCAGCAATTCTGCCACACAAAACAACAAATTGCAAATATCACACAAATGCAATTGGGCACGAGCATTGCTGGTGACAATCTGTGAATAGCGTACCGTCAACACGCTCAAGGTCTCATTCAGCATACCGCCAAAGATGCGTTGTGCCATTTTTGGGGGCACCGAATTCCATAGATCATCTTTGGTGCCGCACATATACAGCCACCACATTTGTATGGTATATGAACCACGTTCCGATTCAAAAAATGGTTCGGTGTCTTCCCAATGCAAAGCATCAGCATCCTGCACGATGTACAGCAACAGAAGACGACAATGTAAATCCAATAAACGTTCCGCTAAAGCCTCCGATAATTGAGAATATTGTTTGAGGGAAATTTTTAAAGCTCCACCTTTTTCGTCGCCTTTAGGTGGACAGATTTTCGTAGTGCATGCCTGTAGATAAACATTTAGGCAATTTCGAACTAAGGCTGCGGCACCAATTGTCGCAGTTAGCACAGAGAGATCGGCATGATCTAGAGACTCTTGTGACAGGACATGTAAATGTTCTAAGAGTAGGTCAGCTGATTTGGTAACAATGCCCACAAATTTATCTGGATCAGAGGTCTTGACAACCACAGAGGACTGAAAAGAGAGAGAGAGGATATTGTAAACTGAGTTTTTAGCATATAAATTTCAAAGGTTCTAAATATAAACTAGCTTCTGCCATAAGACTCTGAGGCGACTAAAGTTCCTCTGTAAAAAAAAACATCTCACACTGGACAGGGTGGTTTCCTGTTTTAGTCTTCTAGTGCTAGGTTCAGTCATTTTTTGCCTGAGAATGATTTTTGTCTATTAGAAATAATACAAATTTTGGCATAGCTTACTGAATTGAGTCTAGAATGATGTGAGCTAAGTTTCTTGAAAATCGGTTCAGATTTGGATATAACTCCCATATATATTTTCGTCCGATTTAAGGAAAATGGTGTACCAAAGTCCCTATAAATCCGTCGATTTGCACGAAATTTGGCACAGCGTACTGAATTAAGTCTAGAACGATGTGTGTTAAATTTCGTGAAAATCGATTCAGATTTAGATATTGGTACCATATATATTTTCGTCCGATTTAATGTAAATGGTGCACCAAAGTCCCTATGTATTCATCGAACTCAAAATGTGGCCGAATGCACAAAGCATACTGAAATAAGTGTAACCTAACATGTGAAAAATTTTGATGAAATCGGTTTAGATATCCATATTTTGCTTTAAATTTATTTACATAATTTTGTCCCATTGTAAGAAGCAACTCTATATCTGACCAAAATTTAGTATAGTTTGCAGAATGACATGTTTAATTTCGTGTTTACAGTCCTTAAAAATGCGACGTCTGTTAGAATTCCATCTGTTGAATATACCCAAAGTGGTGAAGGGTATCATATAGTCGGCCTCGTCCGACTTTACTGCTTTCCTTGCTGGTATAAATTGGAGCAGATGCAGACATAGCTTCCATACAAAACACTCTAAATCTGCCCGAAAGAAGTGAAAATTAGCATAGGTTGGTAGAGGTGAAGAGTATCATATAGTACGCCCAGCTCGACTTTACTGCTTTCCATCCAACAAAGACGGAACTGGATGGAGTGCAACTTCATCTATCTTCCGAAGCAAAGCACCTCGGCACACTCCTGGACTGTCAACTACGATGAAATAGGAACGTTGAGGAAGGACGAAGAGAGGGATTATTGCACTCTATGCATGCAAGAACTCCATTGGGAAAAGCTGGAGGCTAAAACCATCAACTATACACTGGTTGTATAACACAGTGGTAAGGACCATCCTATCATATGGTTCTCTTGTGTGATGGAACTGTCTGCGACACAAGTCGACATCCAGTAAATTAGTTACAGGAGCCAGGAGGAGTACGCCACAATCAGCTCTGAACGCAATTCTGAATTTTAAGCCCCTGGGCTTCAGCATAAAGTGCCAGGCCGCGCGTAGCGCCCTAAGGCTGCAAGAAACAAAATCTCTGGCGAAGTTGTACCTTTGGGCATGGTAGTATTTTGAACGAGCCAGGTATGACATTGGACCAGCAAGCTGAAATCTTCGCGATTTGGAAGGCAGCGGAATTGATAAAAAGTCTGGATGCAGAGGTCGCTGATGCGGTGACTATCTTTGTGGATAGTCAAGCGGCTCTCAAAGCCATCAAATCGAGTTATATAAAATCTGAGGCCGTCCTTAAGTGTAGAGCAGCTTTGGAAGAACTTACTTACAGCTATCGGTTGTGTTGGGTACCAGGACATTGTGACATCTTGGGTAATGAAAGAGCGGACGAACTAGCTAGACGAGGATCTCAATCCACAGATCTAGCAACTGATAACTCAACCAAACCACCCATATGTCATTTTTACCGGAACTTTGAGGCATTCTTCGACGGAAGAGCCTACGAACTTTGACACAACGAACCTGGGTGCAACGTGTCAAGATCCATTTGGCCGACTCTGTCTACCAAAAGAACCCACTCACTGTTGAACCTGAGAAAGCTGAAATATGAGTAACGACAGGAATCATTACTGGTCATTGCAATATCAGGGCCTTTACTAGAAAATGGGATCTTGATACAACTGTTTACTGTAGACTCTGCGTTGACGAGGGGGAGACGGAGACAATTGAGCATCTTCTGTGTCACTGTCCAGCCCTGGCTTACAGGCGGCACAGACTAGTGGGTGCTAATTTTTCACCGAGTCTTAGCTTCTTCTCAATAACCGAACCTGCTCTATTCTACAGCATAATTAGAAACCCAAAGTGGCTGGGAAAGTGCAACCTTAACACGTAATACATCTAATCTCCATAGCCATCGACATTATTCCAAACTTACCTTCTTATATATTTCTGTAAGCTTCTCATCTCTCTTTACTTTCCCGATCTTCTCTCCCCTAAAAATCTCTTCTTATTTCTGTTCTTCTTGTGGATGATAACAACGGACCTAACGGTCCCAGAGTGCTGTAGCCACATAAGTGACTGCACATCCCCAAACCTAACCTACTGCTTTCCATGCTGATTTTCTATTATAAATAATTACTTTCGTTGATATAAGGTTCTATAGGAAAACAAATTCGGATGGGTGGACTATTTTATACGGTCATTTGAATGACCTCACATGGAACTACACTACTGGGAATAACTTTTTAACTATCTTTTGTGGAACATATTCTGTCCATGGTATTACGAATTTTCCCGCATAAGGAATTTCAAATTTTAAAAGATTTTTTGTGGGGGAAATTATATTCCCAAAGAACTTAAATTAAAAAAAATTTAAGCATTTATCATTTAAACTTACAAAATCTCCTTCACTCAATTCCTTCTCGGTATGCAATAGACCCGAATGTTTTCGATATGATGCAAAATATTCATCTTCCCACCATAGAATCATTTTAATGGCAGCAAATGAAGCATAACGAGGGAAATCCAATTTTCCTCCCACAACACCAGTACAAAGACGTTCTTGCAGTACTCGCTGGTGGGTCTGGAAATTAGAAAAAAAAAATTATGTAATGAGAACGACTTTTATTTTTTACACTTGCCTGATAAAATTCCAAATCACGTTGCAGTAATATTGGAACACGGTCCATAAGATTTCCTTCTTCCATAACCTCCATTTTGAATATACAATTGTTTTAATTTTCTTTAGAAAAGTTTAAGTGAATAAAAATGTAGAACTTTATGCTAACAAAAATGCACTCGGAATGTTACTGTTATTTGAACAAAATAAATAACGACAAAACAATCGATTCGTTGGCCTGGCAACAATGTTTAATGTCATATTCAATGTTATGCTACATTTACCTTAAACTTGTTCTATAATCATGTAATTTAGCAAATGTATCAAAATATCTGTATTTTTTGGCATTGTGAGAACGTTTTTAAACAGAATAAGCTGTAAATTGGTATCTTGAGTTCTCATAGGGTACCAAATCTCCCAACCAAAAATTGTGAATATTGGCCCACTTTTAACAACCACTATAATTTCGCTTACAACCGGTAATAAAATAATGTTGTTAGTGGTTCATTTTCAGGTAGCCCCTATACAATAAGACTTCTAATACGATATTCAACAGAATTAGCTGTAATCTGGTATTTTGGATTCTCATTGGCGTCCACTATTTCAGTTAGCCCCATATAATGGCGCCTTATATTTTTCAGCCGAATTGGCTGTCATTTATTATTTTTCATTCTCCCTGAGTACGAAATCTCCCCACCAAAAATTAACAATATTAATCCACTTTTAAAGTAAGTTCCTATTTCAAATACGGTTTTGATCCGAATTGGCTACCACAAATTATCAATATCAGTCCATGTTTGGGGTTTTAGGCCTTTCAGAATCTCAAAGGCAATAAAAACGCTTTAGAGTTTAGGGCTTTGAGATTTGAAGGTTATAAAATTCTCTCGGATATATAACGATCCAAACCATTATTTATAACATCGGCAGGCCCGGCAATATAATTAGTGCTACCAAAACTTGATGGAGAAAAAAAATTAACAGCTATGTTGTAAGGGTATTATAATTTTTTGTGACACAAGAGTTTGTAACTTCACGGAATATTGGTCCTAGACCAACCTTTTAGAATACTGATCGTCATATATCGACTAGCTGAGTGGATTAATTTGTATGTCCGTTCGTCTGCCTATTAACAATTGTAAACAAAGTAACGGCCAGAGCATATCCGGTTCTGACCGAAGAAGACACTTATTGTATTTTGTAAAATCGGTCAATATTTCTCTGCTGAAATCGACCAAAACATTTGTATTCCCTTCACCACACTGTGGTACAGGGTATTAGTCTTTGTGCATATGTTTGTAACATCAAAAAGAAACGAGATAGACCCCTGGTCACTTTTGAGAATATCTATGCATATTCTCACGTTCTGAGTCGTACAGGACACATTTATGATCCACATTAAACGAGCCCTGGTGAAAATCGGTTCAAATTTTGATATAATAATGTAGGTTTGTCCGATCCCACAATAGTTCGCCCACGTCACAAATTTTGGCCGATTGAGAGAACATTTTGCACAGATTGACGCATATGAAGTTTTGTTTAAATCGGTTAGTTTCGCCCGATATTATGTAAATGTTGCAACAAACTCACAAGAAATGTTCGATTTGATTTTGCATAGCGTACTGAATAGAGTCTCGAATGATTTATAATAAGTTTCGGTTGAAATCGGCTGAGATTTAAATATATCTCCCATATATGTTCGTCGGATTTTATGTAACTGGTGCTCTAAACTCCCAATGTTTTTTCCCATTAAGATTTAATTTGGAATACCACGACGTCTGGTAAGTTTCTTGAAAATCGGTTTGGATATAGATATAGCTCTCATATATATTTTCGTCCAATTTATAAGCTCAATATATTTCTTACGATTTACACGAAATTGTACATGGCATATTAAATTGATTCTAGAACGATGTGTGCTAAGTTTCATTGTAATTGGTTCAGATTTAGATATAACTACCATTTTTTTCGGATTGTATGTAAAATGTGCAACAAGGCCCCTATATTTCTATCTATTTGCATGAAAATTTGCATAGTGTACTGAATTTTCTCTAGAATGAAATAAGTTTCGTTGAAATCGCTTCAGTTTTAGATATAGCCCCCATATATGGGCAATATTGCGCCTTTATAACTCGGGAATTACTTAAGTATATGAAAAAAAGAGGATAGTTTTGGGTTAATTGGTCTGTCGTTGCAAACTGTTCATGATATTGACCTCCAAACTTTATTTTGGAGGAAGCTGTGTCTACTTTAATGTAAAAAAATGTGTAAAAACAGGTTGAGGCGAACCAGTTTTTTTATGTTCACTATCGATTTGTGACTAAGCCACTCATTTCACGGTCTTCGTGTCAAAGTAAAACTAGAAGCCAACAAAATGGGGACTAAGCCACTTATGTATCATTTTTCAAAATTTTAACTGCATCTACCTTTAAATGATGCTGACATTTTGAAGCTCGATTTTGAGTGTTTTTTTTTAATTTTACTTCTAGTTTTAATACGCAAACAAGAATTTCTATAAATCGATTATAAGATTATTGTAGTCGCGAATCTGCGTAATTTGATATGTATTTTGTGTATATAGTATGCACAGCTTCAGAGTGATACTCATCCGAAGGTGCGAATTTTGTGCGATCAAATTTCTAAAAACCCTATTTTTGGGGCCAAATTTTTTGATCTGTTAACTGAATGATATGGGTACCCGCGATCAATAAGGTTTTTTTACGTTTCGGATGATATAAAATCTTCTTCGTGAAAATCCATCTACTAGAACGGCGGGAACTGGCCTTTCAAAAACACGAAATTTGGCAAAAAATGTTTTTGAAAATATCGCGGATTTAATTGCGTTTTCTGTGGATAAATTCCGCTTCAATAAATGACCTCATACGGATTTTGATCTTTTTCGAAAAGAGAACTTTAAAAACTTCAGCCGAAAGAGAGATGTACCCAATTTATCTCAAAAATAGTGAGCTGACACATCCATGGTTCTTAATGGACCACATTGAAATCGGTATAGATCGATGTATTTTTTTAAGGTACACACCGAAATTGGATGCGCGTTAATGGCATATGGAGTTTTCGGAAATTATTCGCGTTTTACGATTATTTGGGTACTTCAATGCAACGTGTGGCACATATTAGCTGTCAAATGAAATTTCGCAAAATATATATGGATTGGAAGATAAACTTCAGTACTTCCTGGAAACCGCATGCGCACCAAATGATTTTGATAATTACGCAATTTAGACGCAATTTAAAGTGTATATTTCATAATATTATTTTATTTTAAGATTTATTCCTATTTATAGAACCCCAAGATTTATCGGAAGTGTGTATGCTTATACACCAAATGTGATTATTTTTAAATATGTCAATTTTTCAGCGAAATTCGGGTAAAATAGCAGAATAACCCCAACATTTTTTTCTGAAATTTCTTGTATAAAATTAAAAAATAAATATGATGACATTATTTTTTCGAACCAAAAACAAATATTTTTCCTCAATATCTTGATTTGTTGCGTTCTGATTTACAAACCGCTACACGGACTTATGTGATTTTAATATCATTTGACTCATCATGGTGTTTAGAATATGTAGATATTTTTATATACATTTTTATGTGTGTGTATGTCATTAATATAATGAAAATATTGACGTAATCTACTATATTTTTATCATTTTTCTCATATTTCGCGAAGATGTGCAACTTTATCGCGATTATTATAATATATTCAAATTCTTACTTTACGGAGGAAGATATATATCAACGTTTTTGGTCAATATAATAAAAGGCGTAATTTTAAGATTTTTTTCTTATGCCCAAAATTAAAACCTCGATAACTTTTGCGCGCATCAACCAATAATTTGATCGCAAACGGTTTCGGAGTCAGAACATTTTTCTCTATATGTGTACCAAAAATCATTGATGTGCCACAAATACAAAAAAAAACTGATTTTTTGAAAATGGAATATTAAAAAATTGGCAATATTGCCCATATAAAGAAATTTGTTTATAGTTTATAACGATGCTTATATTTATTAAAAAAATATTTTTATACTTAAATACGAATAAACTTAAATATGTATACAAAGTAACGGTCAGAGCATATCCGGTTCTGGCCGAAGAAGACCATTATTGTGACATCATTTAGCTTGCTAAAATCGACCAAAAGTACAGGGTATTAGGTCTTTGTACATATGTTTGTAACAGGCAAAAGGAAACGAGATAGACCCCTGGTTACTTTTGGGAATATGAATAGAATCACTTTCTGAGGCGATTTATGAATATCCGTTCGTCTGTCCATGTTAAATTGTAAACAATGTACAAGTCTCATTTATGATCCAAATTAAATGAAATTTGAATCACGGACGAACCTAGGTGAAAAACGGTTCAAATTTTTATATAATTCCTATATGTAGGTTTGTCCGATCCCACAATAGTTCGCCCACGTCACAAATTTTGGCCAATTGAGACAACATTTTGCACAGATTGACGTATATGAAGTTTTGTTTAAATCGGTCAAGGTTTAGATATAGCTCCCATATATAGTTTCGCCCGATTTTATGTCAATATATCAATATATTTCTTAAGATTTACACGAAACTGTGCATGGCATATTAAATTGATTCTAGAACGATGTGTGCTAAGTTTCATTGTAATTGGTTCAGATTTAGATATAACTACCATTTTTTCGGATTCTATGTAAAATGTGCACCAAAGCCCCTATATTTCTATCTATTTGCATGAAAATTTGCATAGCGTACTGAATTTTCTGTAGAATGAAATAAGTTTCGTTGAAATCGCTTCAGTTTTCGATATAGCCCCATATATATTTTCGTCCGATTTCATGTAAATGACGCACAAGAGCAACTTTATTTCTTTTGATTTACACGGAATTGTTACTAGCGTATTATATGAGGTCTATAATGATTCGTGTTAAGTTCTGTTAAAATCGGTTTAGATTAAAATACAGCTCCCCTATATATTATTCTCCGATTTTATATAAATTTGCACCATACTCCCATTATTAGTCCGATTGAGATGAGATAGCGTATTAATTTGCGTCTATGACGACGTGTGCTAAGTTTCGAAATCGAAACCGA